ACAGCCATACACACAGGAAAAGACTGCCACTTAATTTTAATTCCCTAAATTGACCAATTTCCTTATATAAATACTGAATATCAAAAGAAGTTATTTGATAATAGGTTCTTCTAATCATTAGAGCATACCTCTTAGATAGTAAAAAGGCATATATTGGATTGAATAAAAGATTTATTTGCCAATATTTCGGCTGGCTGAACGCCAACCTTTATCGAGGCATTACATTTTTGCATAAACAAACTCAGCGCTGCATAGCGTTATTTTGTGGCGCTGAGTTTGTGTATACAAAAATGTAATGCCTCGATAAAGGTTGGCTGAATGCTCAAAATGCCAAATATTGGCAAATAAATCTTTTACTCAATCCAATATATGCCTTTTTATTATCTAATGATTTAAGTATGGATTGATCTATTTTTAAAACATGTACCTCTATGTATGATTTAAAAGTAAAGACAAATCCCAGGCAAAGTTTTATCAATCATATATTCAAAAATAAAATAATTTTAAAATATCTTTATCATATTATACAGGGTGTGGCAGCTATTTGGGTACACACAATATAGGTGCCACACTTTCCTGTGTGTTATAGTAACATGGTTTTGTTCTGTTGCAGGTAGACATGGCAGAACCTACTCTTACACAAGAAATGAAGAGACATGTAGTTATTGTCTTCTTAGCTGCAGGACACACAGAAACTGCTGTATTCTTGAAAGTCGCCCGATCATTTGTTTTCAAAGTTCGGAGAGAATTGGGAGCTGCAAAGGGTGATGTGGCGGAAGTTTCCCATAGGAAACAACATTGTCGACGTTCTGACAGTATCAGGACACCATAGTTTATAAGCCGTATCCAAGCTGCCATCCATGAGGACCCTGGGAAGTCGATGAGGACATAAGGACATTCTCCAGAGAGCTGCAGGTTGATGAGGCTACCATCTGACGTGAGGTTCATGAGAATCTCCGTTACAGATCATACGTGATACGTAGAAGGCAGTTCATGTCTGAAAGAACCAAGATAATCGCTTGACCAGAGCCAAGCGCCTTCTGAACGAGCTTAAATATCTCGAGGAGCCAGGAATGATCTGGTTTTTTTCAGACGAGAAGAACTTTGTTCAGGATCAGAAGGTGAACCGCAAAAATGATCGGTGGTTGTGTAAAAGCCTTGATGAGGTACCTACAGTCATGCATGCCAAATTTCCAGCATCATTGATGGTTCTTGGTGTTGTAAGTAGTGAAGGTGATGTGATGCCTCCACATTTTTTACTCCAGGTGCCAGAGTCAATGCTGTTGCTTACACCGAGGTGTTAGCCACAGTAGTCAAGCCTTGGATCACTACTGTAGCATGTGGGAGGCGGTATGTTTTTCAACCAGACTCAGCACCATCTCATACAGCGAGAACAACCCAAGAATGGATGGCAGAGAATCTTCACAACCATGTCACACCTAACATTTGGCCCCCAGCTCACCAGATGTCAATCCGTTAGACTATTACATGTGAGTGGTAGTTGACTCCAATAGTCATTCCCACAACATGGAGACTCATAAAAAATGGCTTTGGTGGAAGCCTGGATTACAGAGGGAGTGAAATGGAAATCTTAAACAACTGCATCAATGTATTAAAACCAAATGAGACAATTTTGAACAGCTGTTGAACAAACATTTTTTGTTTTCATTTATTATTATTTAAATCAACTATTCATTTAGTTGATAGAATTGGTTTGTTTATGTTGTCATTTTATGCTGTTAAAATACTTTTAAAATTGTGGGAACAACAATTTCATGCACAAGCTATATTCTTGTGTGTATATACCTTAGCATGTCAACAACCTTTTCACACACAACCTGTATTCTTATGTAAATATTTATACATGACAATGCCCACAGTCTTCTTACGAACAACCTGTATTCTTGTATGTACACTCATGGACAAAACTTAAGGAAGTTGTACCTTTTAGCATGTATATCGGGATTGAGACAATAACTCTGAAAGATATTACAGTGACACAACTTTTATACCATTCAGTGCTTTTGTCTGAAGATGGTAACAGCGCTGTTACCGAAACATCACACACTATTTATTTATTTGGAATTGGTTTTATTGCCTTGTGTTCATAATCTATAATCCAAATTGTGCCTTATCATATTAAAGTGACCCTTATTGAAGACACACAAGATAAACAAGTGTGAACAAAATTGCCTCTGTCTCCTGAAAAAAAAAAAAAGATGATGGGTGGACATCAAAGACTTTCCACATCCTAAACTTTTGTCCATAAGTGTATATAGGGACATAATAAAATTTCCTATCTTTAAACAGTTAAGTAATCATTAAATTCCTCTTTTTTTTTATTACTAAAGTTAGAGAATAGTATATAAAAGGATTAATTCAAACTAATTTTTTGAAATAAAAAAAGTAACAACAACTCATTCGATGCACGTGTGTCTCATGAAGTCACTCGTTCAATGCATGCGCTTCTCATTAAATCACTCAACTCCACGCAACGGACAAACAATTTATCCCTTTCACTCCTTTTACTTTCTTCTTTAACTCCGCCTTTGCTGGTCCCAAGCCAGGATGAAAAAGGAGGAGGGGGAGCAGTAACAAGCTCACTAAAAAACCTGGGCTCAGCTGGCCATGCTGATAGTGCCCTGTAAGGACTCTTAATCCAGGTATACGAGGTGTGTTCAAAAAGTATCGCGACTTTTGAATTTTTGCGGGTTACGTATATTCGAATTTCGATCTTTTTGTGGCTTTATGTTGGTACTCATGTCTCTCACTTATGCCGACAAGCTCGGCCATTTTGAATGTTCACTTTATTGTTGACAGCTGCTTTGCTTGCAGGTGTTTTGGATCGTCTTCGATTTTTACCTATTAAAAAAAATGGATCAAAGAACCTGTATCAAATTTTGTGTGAAAAATGAAATTAAGTGCGCGGATGCATTCCGAATGCTGACTGTGGCATACGGAGAAGCTACCTTGGACCGAAGCAACTCTTATCGGTGGTACAAAATGTTCTCAGAAGGCCGAGAAGATGTGAACGACGAAGAGCGTGCCGGACGCCCGAGCACTTCAACAACAGACGAAAAAATTAATGAAGTGGAGAAAATGATATTGGCCAATCGTCGAATCACTGTTAGAGAAGTTGCTGAGGACCTAAACATATCGATTGGCTCGTGCCATTCGATTTTTATCAATGATTTGGGCATGAGACGGGTCGCAGCGAAATTTGTACCAAAATTGCTCAATTGCAACCAAAAACAGCATCGCATGAACATTGCTAATGATATGTTGGACTCTGTCCGCGACGACCCAAATTTGCTCCAGAGGGTCATAACTGGTGACGAAGCGTGGGTTTATGGTTATGACGTGGAAACCAAAGCTCAATCATCTCAATGGAAGCTGCCGCACGAACCAAGACCGAAAAAAGCGCGCCAAGTTCGGTCAAATGTGAGTTTTGCTGACAGTTTTCTTCGATTGCAGGGGCGTGGTGCATCATGAGTTCTTGCCACAGGGTAGAATGGTCAATAAGGAATATTACCTACAAGTTATGCGCAATTTGCGCGAAGCAATCCGCCAGAAACGCTCGGATTTGTGGAAGAACTAAAATTGGCTTTTGCACCACGATAACGCCCCTGCTCACACATCGTTGCTTGTGCGCGACATTTTGGCCAAAAACAACACACTAATGATGCCGCAGCCACCGTATTCCCCAGATCTGGCCCCCTGTGACTTTCTCTTGTTCCCTAAACTGAAGAGGCCCATGAAAGGACGACGTTACGCTACGCTTGACGAGATAAAGACTGCATTGAAAGAGGAGCTGAAAAAGATTTTAAAAAATGATTTTTTGAAGTGCTTCGAAGATTGGAAAAATCGTTAGCACAAGTGTATAATATCTCATGGGGATTACTTTGAAGGGGACAAAATAGGTATTCATGAATAAATAAATAATTTTTGAAAAAAACACAAAGGTAGCGATACTTTTTGAACACACCTCGTACAGGATGAGCAGCGCTTGTACTCCATGTTAGGAGCAGCTGTGCACATGGCATCTGTTCCTCATGTCAGAGGCAGTCATTTCTTTTGGAGCTAAGTCGGCCTGCCACTGAGTGGTGCTCCCAGTCTTAATGACAAAGGCAGACGCATTCTACTTCACCCAGTACCCTAATATGATTGAGTGGAGATAAGAAAGAAGACTTTCTTCTTTTATATTTCCATCCCTGGACTCTTTATTCTTCCGTTTATCATTACTCTACACAATTCATCCTTTCATACTTCATCCCTAAGGATAGGAATAATCGTTATTTCTCCTTAAAATAAATTATGATTTTTCGTTAAAAGAAACATTTGTGGTATAATTGTCAAACATTGTTCTGCAATATCATAAGCTGCCATATATAGTATTATAAATAACAAGGTATATTACAGTAATTATGTTGCATATCCCAGAATATGGCCTTATTACTAAAACCTTGATTTGCAGACAACTTTCCACTACCATTACTTGGCTGTTAACAGCAGCTTACTAAGGACGTGCCCACTATTCATAAAACAAATTGTACCTATACTGGAGCCAATTTTAATGGTTGAATTTGATGTGAAAGGTGGACAGAGAGTTTTGCATTATTTTGACCACTTTATTCCATAATGGATAGTAAGGGCCAAAATGTGCCTGGATCATGTTGCTATGATCAACCCTTGCACCCAATTCCAGTACCTTTGGGAGAGGCCACTGCTTATCATCAAACGGCTTGAGGTGCATGAAATTTGTGTAATCTTTACACAAGGGGATAAGAAACAACAACAACATGGATAAGTTTTTAACACAAATAATAGAGTATCACGTAGAAACCGTCTTAAGCCATCTTTATGCCAGTTCTTTGATCTCACTGAGCTACCAGTTCTGGTTCTATGAAGCAACAAACTCCCACACCCCAGATCATTCTGGTCATTGAAGTGATGCCTGTGAAAAAAGTGGGACATTGACCAAAACAATGCTTAGAAGTAGAACATTGTTGGTTGGTGGAAGGATGGTTTAAACTGTTGGTTTTCACCCGTTACGACCCGGGTTCGATTCCCGCATTGGGCACTTTTTTCTGATTAAAAAAAAAAAAAAATGCTCCAATGGCCACCGATTCTTACAAAAGTTCAACCCCACCAGTAAGTGCAAGTAACCAAACGGGGCTCTGGAAAATTTGTAAGTGTAAAGTTGAACTCCTTTTCACATGTGTAAACATGTGGTGCACTTATAGTTAAAGCAGTCGCTAACTACCCACCATGATTATCATGGACTGTACCATGTGTACTAGGGATAAGTAAAAAAAAAAAAACATACTTGGTTGGCAGTTTAAATAATCAAATGAGGCAGCTGTCAAAAGTGTTAAATATTGAAAAATTGTTTCAGTTCACCCATATAGCTCTGATACAACAGTTGTTGTCAATCTGGCATTGTGGCGGTGACTGGGAGAGGATCTACTGTACAAAACATCAGAGAATAAACAAACTACACCTATCCCCCGATTTACACAGTAGATACGTTCCTGAGAAAAACTTGTAAATCGGGGGATAGGTCTACACAGAAATAAAAATAAAATGCATTGACAGGTTAAAATATGTAGTCAGCACATAAGCTCGGGATTCCTCGTGAGATGTGTACACAGCGCATATGTTCAATCACAGTAGCATTTAGTATAGTGCGATAAAAACAAAAAAAACTTATTTGGAAAACTGTGTAAAAGCGAAAACGTGTAAAACAAGTACTGTGTAAATCGGGGGATAGGTGTATATATAATACAGCAAATATATAATTTTTATTTATAAAAATCAATAGAAGGGTATCATTGTATATACTTGGTGAAAGATTCATGAGATAAGGCACAATTTGGATTATAGATTATAAACACAAGGTAATAAAACCAAATCCTTATTTATTTATTTAGTCTTATTACCTTGTGTTTAGATACATGGGATTTAAAAGTAGAGTTTTTTAAAAAGAAGCTAACGTTACAGAAACAATTTTTATACAAAGGAGAACAGAAAAAAACAAAACAGATGTCATGAAATTTAAATTGATAGTAGTGGTGGTTAAAGTATTATACATTAGAACCTCCCTATAAAGGACACCTAGTTGCAGAGCCAAAGTGTCCTTTAGAGAGAGGTGTCCTCTTACCAGAGAGTTGCTAAATACAGTAGAACCTCCCTGTAAAGGATACCTAATTACAGAGCCAACGTGTCCTTTAAGGAGAGGTGTCCTCTTATCAGAGAGTTGCTAAATATAGTAGAACCTCCCTGTAAAGGACACCTAATTGCAGAGCCAAAGTGTCCTTTAGGGAGAGGTGTCCTCTTATCAGAGAGTTGCTAAATACAGTAGAACCTCCCTGTAAAGGATACCTAATTACAGAGCCAAAGTGTCCTTTAAGGAGAGGTGTCCTCTTATCAGAGAGTTGCTAAATATAGTAGAACCTCCCTGTAAAGGACACCTAATTGCAGAGCCAAAGTGTCCTTTAGGGAGAGGTGTCCTCTTATCAGAGAGTTGCTAAATACAGTAGAACCTCCCTGTAAAGGAAAACATCTAGTTGAAGAGCAAAAGTGTCCTTTAGGGAGAGGTGTCCTCTTATTGGAGAGTTGCTAAATAGTAAACATGGTAATTTTGATGATCAAAACTGTCCTTTGTAATGATGGGGGGGGGGGGGGTCCTCTAATGGGAGTGTCCTCTCTTGGAAGGTTTCTACTGCATTATGTTAAGAAAGATACATATAATTTAATACATGTATCAATACAGTAGAAGCTCCCTGTAAAGGATACCTAGTTACAGAGCTAAATTGTCCTTTAGGGAGAGGTGTCCTCTTACCGGAGATGTGCTAATTGGTAATAATGCAAATTTTGATAATGAAAACTGTCCTTTATAATGAGGGGTCCTCTAGTGGGAGTTTCCTCTTATGGAAAGTTCTACTGCATTATGTTAAGAAAGATACATATAAAATATTGTACTGGGATAAGATGCATAAATTAAGAAAAAGGTATCTCCTTATCCTGCAAATGAAAGTTGCTGAAGGCTTGCGTGATTTGATTAATCAAGAATAGGTATTTGGCCAATTCTGGAATAATTAAAAATCAACGAGAATAGCTGATATTTATTCCGATAGATGGCGCAAGCCATCAGCAACTTTCAGTTGCACGATAAGAAGATGCCTTTTTTCTTTAATATAATATATTACATGTATTTATACAGTAGAACTACCTCCCTGTAAAGGACAACACCTAATTGCAGAGCCAAAGTGTTCTTTAGGTAGAGATATCCTCTTACCGGAGAGTTGTTAAATACTTAAAATGGCAAATTTGCAAATAAAAACTGTCCTTTATAGAGAGGTGTCCTTCAATGGAGGTTCTACTGTATATGTTGTCAATAAAAGCTTTTGTTTCAAGTTAACTCCCCTTTGTTAAAGAAAAGAAATCTTGAGGAAGAAGTGATAGGAAAGTGAAAGAGATAAGAATGGAAAGAACCATTTGAGGAAGACTTAAGAAGACTTGAAGGTGAAAATTAAAAAAGTTGAACTTGAGAGATGAAAAATAAGGAACCCCCAAGAATGGAAGCAACAATTCAACCTTATGACAAGAAATGTCCAAATGAAAAAAAAAAAAAAGAGAAAACTGTCAAAATTTATTAGTTGGCACATATCAATGTTTTTTTTTTTTGTTTTTCCAAGAATTTGGGGGATGGTTCAACGACGATTGCGCCCATTGTTGATCTGCCTGGAAAAACACCAATCAAATATCTTTAGGTGAAGGGTGCTAGAGGAAGGAAGAGAAGAAAGATGAAACCTGGGGTTGATAGCTTTTAGACTGATTCTAGAAGTAGAGAGCCATTTTGTCATGAAACTAGAAGCCACTTTTGAAAAGATCAGATCACGATGAAAAACACCAATCAAATATCTTTAGGAGAAGGGTGCTAGAGGAAGGAAGAGAAGAAAGATGAAACCTGGGGTTGATAGCTTTTAGACTGATTCTAGAAGTAGAGAGCCATTTTGTCATGAAACTAGAAGCCACTTTTGAAAAGATCAGATCACGATGAAAAACACCAATCAAATATCTTTAGGTGAAGAATGCTAGAGGAAGTAAGAGAAGAAAGATGAAACCTGGTGGTGGTTGATAGCTTTAGACTGATTCTAGGAGTAGAGAACCATTTTGCCATGAAACTAGAACCCACTTTTGAAAAGATCAGATCACGATGAAAAACACCAATCAAATATCTTTAAGTGAAGGGTGCTAGAGGAAGTAAGAGAAGAAAGATGAAAACTGGTTGTTGATAGCTTTTAGACTGATTCTAGGAGACAGCCATTTTGTCATGAAATTAGAACCCACTTTTGAAAAGATCAGATCACAATGAAAAACACCAATCAAATATCTTTAAGTGAAGGGTGCTATAGGAAGTAAGAGAGGAAAGATGAAAACTGGTAGTTGATAGCTTTAGACTGATTCTAGAAGTAGAGACCATTTTGTCATGAAACTAAAACCCACTTTTGAAAAGATCAGATCATGAAAGAAAGGTAGAAACAACAAATTATAAGAGAGATGGACCAGAGATTTCCACAGATAAAGAAAGAAACACAAGGTAATAAGACCAAATCCAAATAAATAAATAGTGTTTAGTGTTTATTTGGATTTGATCTTATTACCTTGTGTTTATAATCTGCTAGCCGAATGACCCGGGCAACGCCCGTGTTTTACCCGATTGAATGTTTTTATTCAAATACTATTGTTACAATTATAAATTGGCGCCTTAAATAAATGCATATATTAGTTAATAACTATAGCCTATGTGCTTTATCTGCCTATGTACTGTTGGCTTTCGTAGGCGTCTCTTACTGGGGAAAAAGAAAGAGAGGATTCCATTTGGTTATTATCTAATATATGCATTTATTTAGGGAGCGACCCGCTCCAACACAATGGTTACAAAGACGAAATAGCGAGTGGGGGGGGGGGAGGGGGGGGCAAAGGTGGCGTGACCGTAGCCAACCAATAGGAAGGGCGCCATTCCAAAAAAAAAAGCAAACGGTGACAGAGATGAAAACTGATGACTGATTGATTAGGAGATGAGGAATGACGCTCGTAACTGTATATAGAATAATCCAAATTGTGCTTTATCAAGATAAAGAAAGAGTAATGAGATGAAAAAATTATAAAAAGAGACTGCAAGAAAATTATACACAAATCTTACAATATTCACTACAAGTTAATCTTAGAGAAAAAAAATAGAAAGAGTTTACGGAAAGAGCGAATTAAGGGGGGCACAAAATAAAAAGTGTGAGAATAATAAAAAAAGGATAAATTTGAGAATTGTTCAACTATTTTACTGAGAAGATAAAAACTCAAGTTTTAAAAAGTCTTCTTACTACTGGTGATTCTACAAGGTTGTCCCAAAAGTTCGTAAACACTTGCAAAAATTGAAATACCAATATTATTGGCTGTTATAAAACAAACTAATAAGACCAAATCCAAATAAATATATAGTGTGTGATGTTTCGGTAACAGCGTTGTTATCATCTTCAAATGAATGATGATGATGATATGAAGATGGTAACAACGCTGTTACCGAAATGTCACACATTATTTATTTATTTGGATTTGGTCTTATTACCTTGTGTTATAATCTATAATCCAAATTGTGCCATATCTATTGGCCGTTATGTATAATGTCTTTGTATTATGTTGTTGTTGTTGTTTCTTATCCCCTTGTGTAAAGATTACACAAATTCCATGAGTTCATGATCATGAGCCTTATGGAAAGGGGTGTAGGTGTGCAGCTTTCGTTGATTATGACACCATGATCCAGGCACACTTTTGTATTATGATGCACTAGCACTCTTTGGCGAAACCGCAGGGAGGGTTCACCACTGATGAGCCAGGCCCTCCTATTAATTTCCATTGCAGTAAGGACAGTAGAAATTGTTCAAAAAAGAATCCTACGCGTCTAAAATAGTTTCTAATTATCCCACTTTTGTAATATGTATTCGCCATAATAAGAAAAACAACGTATTAAGAAAAACACAAACTTTTGGGACAATCTTAGAAAAGAAAAAATAGAATTTG